ACAAAAAAAAAAAAAAAAAAAAAAAAAAGAAAGAAAGATGAAAAAAAACGACCTTCGAACTCGACAAAACCAAGTTGGACCCAAAACTAATTCACACCGGCAACCGTTCTGCCTTTGATAATCTTAATCCATGAAATATTCGCCACAGAAGAATGAAATCCCTTTCTTGATTTTAGCGCGCGCTGAGAAGCGCGATAAAGCTGTGAAATCAGCGTGGAAGGAATGATGTCTAAGCTGTTATGAGAGAAAGAGAGACGATGGAAAAAAAAAATTATATTGGTCATTTCAAGACTCCTTTTAATTATAAACGCCTTTGGGAGATTAAAACAGTTAGGTAATTCTAAAAAAAAAATTTCTATATTTATCTCATTTATGCCAAATGCAATCGTTTCGGAAATATTATCGTTCAACAACCTTCGTCTGAGGTTAATTTAAAGATTCCATTACTATCATCCTTTTTCTTAAGACAAAAATTTTAAACAAGAAAAATAAAATTTTTGATTTCTTTAAAAAAACACATACTTTAAACCCTTGCGTGCTAAAAATTGTACTTTTCTCCCGGTCTAATAGACCGAGAAAGCACTAAACGTTCTTTTATTTGAATGTTATGTTAGGTTTAAGGTTATGTTAATTACATTAATTCGTTACAGATGAATTTTTATTTCGTATATATACAAATAAAAAAAAATGTTACTTCGCATTAAAACCATAAAATTATCATTGCTGTGTATTAAATACCATATATTTTTGAAATTTAATAAAATTTTCAAGTTGTAAATTCTTTTTTTAATGCTTATAAATTTGCCCTGAAGAGATTTCGTATCATTGCAAATATGGCCTCGGGCATGGTTATCCTTTGAAAAGCGCACGTACGGGTGCCAGTATATATTGTTAATATATGTGCACGAGCCGGTATACCGATGGCCTTGAACGCGAGCTGCACGTGATCGTTGGAAGCGCGCTTGATTCCCTTGAATTATAATTACTTTAAAAGGATGGTGGGGGGGGAGGGAGTGAGGGGAGAAATTTACAAAGGGGTTTTGACGCCACTTTGTACCCTAGATTACAAGAAGACCAGAAGGCAAATACTTCTTTTTTTGCATCGTAATATATACTTTTGTTTGATCCTATTAACTCATTTCAAACATCTTTTCATATTGTATAAACCATGGTATTTGTTATCTTTTTTTTTTTTTTGCTTCTTGATTCCAATGAACGATAAGAATTAATTTCTTACTTTTTTCCATTATAATATGCGACTAGACAAAAAATAATTATTTTCTTTCACTAAAAATAAATTAATTTTTTTTATCAATGAACACGTTTAAACAGGTCGAATCCCGAATTCCAACTGATACAAGTTTTGTAGCTCAAGTGTATTGCAACTGTTGCAAAATAGATTAACTATGTGGAGTTTTTAAAATTTAACACGTTTAAACAAGTTGAATCCCGAATTGCAACTGTGCTAATTTTAATGGCAAAATATTATTCTTAAAAAAAAATTTATTTCTTTCGAAATAATTTTTTCTTTCCCTCAAAGTCGAAATTTTCTCATTAGATGATTATTTATATTTAATTTTTAAAAGAGAAGCCACATCTCTAATTGAGAAAAAAAAGAAAACAACAGATGGAACATTGAATAAGTTTTTCTTTTTGGAGAGCCACACTGATGCCTTGAATTCGAAGCCCTCCTTCTATTTATTCAGCGATTATATCTCGGGAAGCCACCTGGTGTCACTACGAAATGCGTTTTGCATATTAATTATTGGATTTAATTTTTAATTTATATTTTTAATACTGTTGAATTATTGACCATATATGTATAGATTTGTATAAAGTATTTTATTACTTTTTACACGATTTTTTTATTTTCCTTTTACCAATCAGTTGAGTTTATAGATTTCTTTGAATTACTAAATGCAATTGTTGGTTAATTAATGAACAAAAATTTTTTTGTGTAATCTTTTGGGGTATCTTTACTGTCAAGCAAGTTACATCATTAACGGTGTATAATCTATTATATGTGTGGGTAATTTTTTTTTCTTTCTCTCTCTCTCTCTTTTTTTATAGTTCGTCAAGATCAAGAACGAAACGTCAAGGCAGATCGATCGTGCCGAAGAAAGGCGGACCTCCTCTGCTATGGGCCAGATGTAAATTTATCATGACTTTATCTCGTCGGTGAGACAACGTTCGTTAATTTTATCCTTTCCTTCTTCTCCAGCCGCAGACATTTATTCCTTTTTTTTAAATGCTATTTTAGATATATACTCAGAGGCACAAAGAACATATATGAGAAGAGTCATTAAAAATCAAAAACTGATTCCTTTTTTCTAATTAATATCAATGAAATTAAATTTTAATTTAAAAAATTTGTTTTAAATATATACTGCAGTAGCAAAAAATATTCCCACTGAAAAAATATGAAATTGCCGACAGTTAATTTTGTCTATCTTTCTGTTTGAGAAAACCCGCATTCACGAATGATAACGCAAGTGCATCATTGAAAGAAGATGGGACGAACTAAAAAGAAGAAGAAGGAAAGATTTCTTCTTGTTAAAGAAGCTGTGTGGTATCTGTATATATACCCATGAGACTGCAGTCGTAATGGAAATAAATTTAATTAAGATTAGGAATTCTGAGAACCTGGTCGAAGCAGGTTCCTCCCTTGGCTTGCTTTTGACCTTCCATTGGTTTTCTTCTCTTGCTTACGCTGTTCTTCCACTTCGTTGGGCTCAAATTCCAATTAAAAAATTTTGCGAGACACTCCCAAACTTGTCCAAAATTTAATCTTATATAGGCAAAAAAAAAACAATTCAAACTCTATTAAAAAGAAATTTAATTATTTTACAATTCGAATAGATCAAAATATGGTGTCGAATTGCCTCTATTCGTGGAATGTGTAATTTTCATGCAAATTAGATTATAATTTTAAATTGCAGTTATTTCTGTTTCTGTAGGAAACAATTTGGATGAGAAAAATAAAATACAGTAACCAAAGAATTTAGCTTCCGTTTGCATCAAGTAATTTTGCTTTGTACAATATATTTAATGGTACATAAATTTTTGAGATGACAAATCTGCTACTGGTAGAATAAAAAGAACTTGCGGACTTTATGCTACTTCTGTAGCATACTAAAAACATTTCTCTTGCTCTCATAATCAGAGAATTTTGATCAAGGAGTCATAAATTTTGATGCTGCAAAAAATGTTCCATTTGTCAAACCAAAAAAATCTGTTACTTCTTTTAAGAAACAATTTGCATTGGACCAAACAAATTTTGATAGAATGTATTCCAAAAATCTTCCATTTGGCAAACCAAAAAAATTTGTTGCTCCTTTTCAGAAACGTATTGGAAAACAAATTCTGTTAGAACTAAAACGAATATAGTAAACAATTATAAAAGAAGAATGGAATAGTTTTGCAAAAGTTCATGACACCGGATGATGATGATGATGATGATGGGAGAGGATCATGGTTGGTTTTTTTTTTGGAAGGGTTTTATATATCGCGAAACGGCTTCATCGTCATCGAATGAGGCGGGTGCCAATTAACGAAGCTCATTAATACAATCGATCTGCTGATCTCGTTGGGTCCAGTGGGTTTGAGCGCATAGTGTGTGCAACCGGTCCTCCCCTTGATTTCGACTCTCTCTCTCTCTCTCTTTTTCTCTCTTCGAAGACGCGAAAGCGATAGTACGATCACCGCTCGGTCAAGCAGCTCACCTCTCCTTTTGTTTTTTAAAGTTCTTTTCGATCGTACTCTGGCAATCTCTTCTTCGCGTTCCTTCTCCGCCTGCTCATCCACTTCTCTTTTCTCTACCGACCGCCTTCTTAATCTTCCTTTAATTCCTTGGCTATTCGATTCTTTATACTTTTTTTCACTCCACCTCATCCCTTCTTTTTTTTCACCTTCATCTTCTTTACTTTGCTCCTTTCTTTCTTAACAATTTCTTTTTTACTCGTTTTCGCTTATTTTTTTCTCTCCCTTTCTCTCTCTTTTATTTCTCAACAAGTTCTCCATGTCTTGAGAACTTATATATACCCGCGACAGGGGATCGAAATTCGAAACATTCTTCTTTTCTTTACAAAATCTCTTTAATCCTTCTTATTTTTGTGAATAATAATCTTATTTAAATAAATGAAACCTTTAAACTTCCATAGCGGTCTCTCAGACCGTTATCTAAACATTTTTCTTACAATAGAAACTTTTAGGTTACTTCAAACATTAAAATTCGTCAATAATAATAATAAAAATAATAATAATAATCGTACAGTTAATGAAGAATTCAATTATTGTCAATCATGATTTCTAGATATTGTTAAGTATATCGACAATCGTCAAATTAACCGGTAAAGTGATACATATAAATACAAGTAGTACAGGATAAAACTGGTCTAACATGATTTCACTTTCTTTCAAAAAAAAAAAGTAATCTCTGTTGACAGATAATATTGATCTTGTTCTTCGTGCCTTGAAAGTAAATGAATCGCTTGTTACGATCATCTTTTCATCAATGCGCATATAGCAATTATAATCATTTTTTTTTTAAATATAAATTCATTCATTCAGAATAATATTCTCCTAAATCACTTTATGACAAAAGCATAATACAAAACCGAAATGTTTTTTTCGATCTATTAATTTTTAAACAGTACTACTACAATGGAAATTCAAAAAAAATATGAATAATATTTTATATAATTTTCATTCTAATAATTAATTAATTATTCGATAATCTTTTTGATACGTGCACCAAAGTTTGATAAAATTTTAAAATCTGCATTCAAAAAATGATGAAAATAATTGGATTATTGTTAATGTAGAACTAACAAATTTGATTTCTTTTTGCATCAAATGTTTTATTCGCCTAACAATTAAAAATGTTTAATTCAAAAATTTGTTAGTTCTACATTAATAATATGTTTATTAGAATTAATTTCACCATGCAAATAAATAATTTTCAAAATATTCTGTCTTATATGATAAAAATAACTTCTTACCAATAAGCTGATTTGCTGTGTGTGATCATTAACCCAAGCTAAAATAAGATCAGCACCCTTCATATGACTCTTCTCATTGAAGCCAATTCCAATATATCCCAATGTTCTAGCAGTGACCTTGAACGTGACAATATTCTCATCAGATGGATCCCATTCAAGTAAAACATCTCCATTTTCATCTAGAATTTCACTTCTACTAAAATTAATATCATCATCGTCATCATCATCATCATCATCCTCAACACTTCTCTTTCGTTTCATCACATCAAAACTAGCTTTAATTCTATATTTTTCATTGGTAAAATATTTTTTCGGTACAATTTTCGGTTGATTTTTTAAAATATCTTTCTGAAAATATTTACTAATTGGTAATTCTTTCATATTATTCTCATATTTTGATAATGCTAATTCATCAATTGCATTTAACAATTCATATTGTTCTTGTTCATTATTCATTTCCTGTTTATTTGGATATTCAAGACCATCGTTCTTAAATGTTTTATTATTATGATTTGATGATTTACTCCAATTTTCATCAACATCAAGCCTCTGTCTTCTATAGTTACCAATTCTAAAAAAAGGACTTTCAACAACACTTCTTTTATTTCTCATACGTTGTCTCAATGGCTCTCTATGATGATGTTTTTTATATTCCGGTGTTTTCATCTCTTCATCCATGTGTTCAACAAACAAATCCAATAAATCCGCACTCACTACCCAATGGGCAGATAATAACAAAACTACCCTTAATAGAAACATTATTATTTTTTTTCACATTCACACAATTGGTATTATTTATTTCCGAGGGGGGGGGGGGTGGTTTTTTTTTAAATAGTTTACTTTTTCACTAAAAACAAAAAAAATTGTTGATAAAAAGTATTTTTTTTTTTCAACGTTTTTCGTCTTCGAGATCGTCCTTTGATGAGGGCTCGTTTCTCATGGTTGATTCGTACATGTTGTACGCACGACAGTTGTGCCGGGACTAATTTAAACATGCGGCCTGCCTACCCCTGCGGATACCGAGCAGTATACAGCAGCTGCTTACCTGCCTGGCAGATCAAGTAAAAGAGAAAGAGAGAATGAGAGAGAATGAGAAAGAGAGAGAGTTCGTGTGCCTTCGTGAAGGCCCGAGGGGCCCTACCCGTTACCAATCGGTAGGCAAAGGCCCCGAAGGCAACCAATCCTGACGCCTTTTTGGCCGAATAAGAAGCAATGGTTACAGCGGAAAAAGAAGTGGCGCGGCGTCCTAGCAGCAAACATAACCCCAACCGCCGAAATTGTATAACCTCCTTCTCTCTCTCTCTTTTTCTTCTCTCTCAATCTTTGTGTATATATGTATTGTACTTTATTGCTGCTTTCGTTTCAGAGACTGGTTCGACAGACTAAGTGGTACGTTGCAAAGAGGCCCCTTGTTCGTATATATATATATATATATGTACACTCACATATATGTATGTACTAAAACTAAATGACCTACCGCGAGAGAGTAGGTACGCAATTATTTTGTACCGGTTTTTTTTTTTTTTTTTTTTTTTTCTTCTTCATCACCAAGGCACCTCTCCTTGGGTAATTGTATTTCGAGTTTGAAACTGATGATGACGTTGTGGGGTTCCTAACAAATTGTTACTCTTGCACGAAATGAAGAAGAAGAAGACGAAGAAAAACAAAAGTGAATAATAAAATATATATATATGACGTTGATGTAATTTACGGACATTGTTTGAAAAAAAAAACAAGGTAGATTAGAAATTTTAAATAGGTGTACTTATTTATCGATTATAGAAATCTTTTATGTGCACTGGAGAAGATTTATTATTAAAATAATTATTTGTAGTAACTTTTACGGTTTTTAAAAATAAAAATCGATTTAAAATCAATTAATTCCATAGATTTTTAATTATTTTCGATTCTAAAACAAATTGATTTGTATTTAGAATTAAAATCATCATTTTATCAGATTTATTTAATTATTTAATTATTTTATTAAATTTCCGAGAATTTGAATTTAATTATGTTTTTTGAAATGGTTTTTTTTTGCTTCTCTCAGAGTAAGATAAAAAAAATTTTCCCACACAAATTCGTGTATATTGCCTGAAAAAAAAAATATGTACATATTTATGATATGTTTAGAAGAAAAAATCCTTATGGTCAAAGAAAAACAGACATTTCCTAAATTTCAAGACATGGAGAGACAGCGTATCAGTAAACAGATATCTGCCGAGTTCATATATGAGAAAAATATACATATACAAAATTCGAAATAAGATTTCGAATACTGATAAAACAATTTTGTTTAAAAACTTGTTAATAATTTATTTTTATTATACTTTTCTCTAAATCTGAGTTAGTAAAAAAGTTTACTATTTTAAATTAGTGACTCACTTTTTGCTTCTCAATTAGTAAAATTCTACTAATTATTAGTAACTTTTACTAACAATTATTAAAATTCTACTAATTATTAGTAACTTTTACTAAGAATTAGTCAAATTTAACTAATTCTAAAGCAAAAAGTGAGTCACTAATTTAAATTAGTAAACATTTTTACTAATTCAAATTTAGAGAGTAATTATGTATATATATTTATTTGTAAATTGTTAAACTTGTATTTTAAAAAATAACTAAAAAAAAAAAAGAAGTTTTAGTCGGAAGTTTCATTTTTCTGACTTTGATTTTACTGAAACTGTTTCAGGTAAATAGAAATGCATCTGTGAAAAAGATGGTCCATGGAAAATTTAATACGGTTTCACTTTAAATTTGGGTTTAGAAGTTTGGCCTCAGAATTTACAAATTTTTTTTTTTCAAGGAGACTTCCAATACATATTGGGCGGAGATACTAAAATTGTCTAAAAGCTTAACATGTGGTCTGCGAGAAATATGTATCTATATATATGTAGCTTCATTTCTCAAGTTATTCCTTGAAAATAAGTTTCAAAAATTTTCTCGTAATTTTCTAAATTTTCAATAATGTGAAAATACAAAATTCAATTATATTTGAAACTGAAAAATTTCGTATAAATTTTTTTTTTAATTAAAAAATTAATATTTATTAATTTTTGTTAATAATATTTTGTTGCCCTTGTTTTTTTTATTTATTTTTTTATCTTATTTTCTCTCTTCATTATAAAACCGAAATGACATCGAAAGAAGGGAGGAAAAAAGAAATATTTTTGATTGAAACAATCGCGGGAGAGAAAATAAAAAGTACAAGAGATGCAAGTTCCTTAATGAGGACCTATTACGACTGTTAAGAAAACCACAAGTCATTCACTAACGGAGCTTCTTTTTCGCCATGGTTTCTTTTTTTTTCTTTTAATCTTTTTTAATTTTATATATGACTAACAGGCGTAGAGCACTTTTTTTTTTTTTTTTATTTTCTATATAAAAGATCTCGTGTGTCGTACAAATTGCAGATCACTGAGAAATTAAAAGTCATCGCGATTCGCACGAATACAAAATAATACCCATCTCACTGCCACAGAGAAAAGTGACTTCAATTATTTATTTTTTCCAAAAACATTTATATATAAATTCTCCCGATAAATTATTTATATTGAGTATGCGAATCACATATGCTATTATAATGATAAAGACAAAAAATTGAATTTTTTTTTATTTGGAAAACAAAGGTAGATTCTCGAGTGGAGGAAAAAAAAAGTTGAGACGTCTTTGCGGAGATTTTTTTACTGAGAGAAAGAGAAAAAAAAAGAAAATACAGGAAAGATTTCGACTACTTCCTGCGGAAGCGTTTTTGTAATCGTATATATATATATAGTCGCTGATGGCGGTGGTGTCGTTATATACGGAATAGAGAAGAGAAAAACGGAGGGGCTGCAAAACTAACTGCGGCAGATGCTAGCCCTTGGCACGCGCCCTTCTGCTCATTTTCAGTGATGCTCAACTTCATAAGAAATTTCTATTTAATAATTTCTGTATCTTTCTAATCTGATTTCGTTTTTTACGAAAAGAAAACCGAAAAAAAAATTTCTGTCATGGAAAATAAATCCAAAATATATTCTTTTGATATCAATTTGATATTTTCTCAAACGATTTTATTTTATTGAAATTTTTTTTGTAATAACTATTTCATTTGAATTTTTTAAATCGTAATATTTACACTATTTTTCTAATATATACAATTTTGATGAAAGTTTTGATAATTAATTTACAGATTTTCAGAAAAAATTGGAGAAAAAAAATTTAATCAAATAGAAAGAGAGTAGGTCAGAATATAATAGGGTTTTTATTTTCTCAGCCAGGTAGATTTTATGAATCAACCATATTATTGCAGTGGTTGTCAGGTTTTTGGCAGCTGTTTATAAAAAGGCGCGCACAGGTCTTAGTGATGGTTTCCTTGCACACGCGTTTAGTGTATCGAGTTTCGCAGTCTTAACATTCTCATTTGGAACATTACACCACTCTATATATATATATCCGAAAAAGAGTTATCGATCCTTTTGCTTCTGTCACCTCTTTTTTTAAAAGAAAAAAATAAATCGTGAATTTTTTTTTTAAATTTTTACTTTTGAAACCGTGTAAAAAGCGAAAAATTTTTTTTTCTGTTCTAAATAAATATTAAATGCAAATACGATTTTATCTCTTATTTAAATAAACATTGAAATATATATCCTTTGAATTAATTAATTGCTACTTTGAGAAAGGGAGTATACTTGCAATTAAAAAAAAAAAAAAACAGAATTTTATAAAATCGTATAAGAAAAATATAAATGAGACAATATTAAGTTTGCAATGTATATTATATAGTAAAAAGATATAAAGCACCTGTTAAAAGAGTGTTTTTGCTGCTGAAGCGTTCAAAGGGAAAAGTGCGACATTATAATATGCACACACCGTGGTCATTTTGCAAATGGGGAGAGATATACATTTAATATATATACGGCGTTTAATAAACTGTAAAACGGATCCTCTCGAGTTCACGAGTCTCATTCGGATTGAATTAATTGCCATCTTGAAAACCAGTTTTGGTCGGAAGGATTCTTTGGTGCGAAACTTTAAAGTTATGCCTTTGCATTTTAATGTCCTACCTTTCCTGCGAGACCGTCAGACTGGATAAATTACAAAAAATAAATGATTTTTGATACGCGTTGTACAGTAGCACCATCCCAAAAAAAAAAAAATATTCTCAATAAATCCTGTTTGTAATTATCAAAATCAATTTTATTTCTTTAAAATTTTTTTCCATTTTTGTTAATTTTTTTTATTTAAAATTTTATAATAATAATAAAAGTTTATTTAATTCAAGGAAATATTTATTTAATAATAAAGTAATTTTTTTTTCTATATATATATATGAAAATAATCCTTTATTTTGAAAATAAAAAATCAGAATTTTTTTTCTTGGACGTTATTTGTAGAAGAAAATTTTTTTAAATTTTTGCTTTAAGACGAAAAGCAATCTCGGGGGTTTATATCTAAAGGACAAAATAGACCACATTCCTTGGAAATCGAAAGCATAAGGATTTTCGTAGAATTTCTTTAACTACATCGAAAGAGGACTTTGTCGCGAACAGGGAAGTCCTTATTCTTATATTGTAAGAACCTTTTTTTTTTTTGTTGTACGTAACCATTTTCTCGGGCCTTATAACAAACGACATCCTTCCTTTTGTCGGCAGACGATTTTATTTCTATATATATATATGTGTGTTTTTTTTTCATGTCGAGAAAATTTTCAATATTGTAAAATTAATTTAAAAATATTTTTAATTCACTAACTAATAATTACTAATAATAATGGTAAATAAAAATAAATTTTACCTAATTTTTGTTATTTTATTATATTATTTATGTATTTATTTTATAATATTTTTTTCTGTTATCTTCCTTAAAAACGAATAATAATCGAATAATAATAATAATAATCGAATAATCGAATAATAATAATAATCGAATAATCGAATTTTTACATTTTTTTTTTTTGCATTAAAAAGAAGTGAAATTGTAAATTAAAATTCCTAATAATAAAAATCAACGACCATGTGCAGATGTTTTCATTGGAGGTACTCCATCCAAT